ATGAAAAACAAACAAAAGAAAAAAAAAAAAATCACAAGTTAGAGATGGAGAGGTGCTACAAGCACTACAAGAGGTATTGAAAGGGTTCAGAGGTCGGAGGAAAAAGAAATGGAGAGTAGTGTTTTTTTATTAATATATAATAAAGATAGAGAAAACGAAAGAGAACATGAATGCCTTTCAAAACAGAGATCAACACTCCGATGCTTAAATTAGTAATAGAATTGATATTCGAAAGGGATTCGAACACACTGAAATCGATCTGACCCTTCTCTCTTTAGGAAGTTCAATTTATTCTCCGCATGTATAATTGTAAAATATTTCTTTCTTTCTGCATTCAAATAAAAAATCTTATTTTTTAAAAAAATCAATTATATTTATATCTTTTAAAATTTTAAAATTTAGAATTATTTCCTTGTACCAAACAAAGCATACAAGTCTAAGAACGAAAACAAGATACCAAGCGAAGAAATTTCCGAAGCATCCGAATTTCGTAAAAGAAGAAAGAAAAAACAGAAAAGAAAAAGAGAAAAAACTGCGGCTTTCGATGAAAGTGTTCGTCACGCGATTTGGAGAATTGGCGTGATTCTCAAGCGAAATTTAGGAAATTGAAAATACCCCCACAGATTCTGATTTGACTTTTGCGAACCCTCTCTCTCTCTCTCTCTCTCCATTTGTAATTTTAATTTTCTCGTCTCTCAATATTTATCCAAATTCACAGAACGTAATGAAATTGAAGACGATTCATTATCATCCTCCATCTGGTTAAGAAGCTCGAGCCTCCATTTTCCCCCCACTACGCCTTTGCTTGCTTCGATCGAATCTGGGCCGTACGTTGGCTGGAGTCCAGTCTCTGCGACTGTCCTACTGCTATAAAGACTCGAAACATCTCCGACCAAGAATTTCCGATTGACCCCACCAGGAGGAAGAACAAGAACTTGAACAAGAAACTTTGTTGTGGTGTGGGAACGTTGATTTCTTGAGGAAAAGAGAGGGAGAGAGCTATGTCGGGAGGTATTGCACGCGGTCGTCTGGCTGAGGAGCGGAAGTCGTGGCGGAAGAACCATCCGCATGTGGGTATTCGTTCATATCGCCTCGATGTTTTGTTTTCTTTGGATTTATTGTTTTTTTGTGTTCCATTTGGCGATTTTGGGGTTTAATTTTGATTCTCTGGATTCTGGTGTTTTTAGGGTTTCGTTGCGAAACCGGAGACTCTGCCTGATGGAACGGTGAATTTGATGATTTGGCATTGCATTATTCCGGGCAAGGCTGGGGTATGGTTTTTCTCTTCGATTTCTTTATTTATTTTGTATCTATGTTTGGATTTTGTAAGATGATTGTTATTTTGGAGATTATGAAGTTTGATGCCAAATTGCGCGACATCGTCGACCTCTCCCGCGTTCTGAATCTTGCATGCCCTAATTCTTCCTTCCCTCTCCGGAATTCTGTGTCGGTTTCTCGATTAAGAATATTACTGCCATGTTTTATTGGGATGATATTGGTTGTCTAAGCGTTGGATTGGACGCCTCTTAGTTCAACGAAGTCTGTAATTTGTCTTTAGGAAAATGGAACCAATTTTGTGACTTAATCTTCTTTGCTTCCCTGTCGGCGTACTCAAACTGTAATCAGCTTCTTTTATCTTGTCATGAAAAACTGATCAGCAGATCTCTAGGACTTATCTGAGTTTCTTCTTCAAATTGGGATCACTGAATTACGTGCCTATCTTTTTAAGCTCTTTGCCGATCAACTGGTATTGTGGCTAAAAGAGCACCCTTTTTTTGTCATCATAAACTATCTTCATTTCAGGGGTAAATTTCTTTCGGCCGCCTTTCTGAAATTTCTGATCAATAAATGAGGCTTTTCAAACCTGGCCATTGAAGAAAGGTTCAAAGTTAATTGAACCTTTATTATTATCATATTAAAACCTTTTTTGTTTCAATAGTATATGGTGACCAGCTGACACCATCACACAGATTCTCATGATAACAAAACTGAAAATTTTTTGCCCGTATTCTAGCATCTCCAGTATATAATATAGCATTTCTTTTGTTTCTTCTGTACCATGTTAATAGTAAGAAATGGAATAAATAGAATCTTGAGCAATTAGTTAGGCCGAGAAGTGATTAATTTGATGTCATAATCCCATCAGATAATGGCAGGCTCTCATAAATTCCCCAATTCCACTACGTGGGGAAAATGAGATTTATTTAATCCTTTGTCTGTAGAAATAGCCAAATAGGTCTACTAGTGCATTTTGTAAGCACAATTCGTGGTTGTAACTTGCTTTGTTACCAACAATAAATTGGTGGTTTTTTTTTATAAGAATAAATTGGTGGTTTTCATTGATGAACTATAAAGTATTATTCTTTGTACTTGCTGGGTTCTGGTCAAACATGAGCAGCTCAGCGGTAATTGGCATGTACTCCTCCCCTTGAAGTTGGAGTTTTGATCTCCATATCCCCAAATTATTGTATACTTGTAGGGTTCTAGTAAGTGAAGGGAATCATTGAAGTCACATCTCATGTCTATTAGAATGGATCCTTCACTAGCTTGATTTTGACTTTGGATTTATTTTTTCTTCTTATCTGTTTATCTCTACCAAATCTAAACAGATCTTTGTTTGAAACTTAACATTTCTCTTTTTATATTGAAACTATTCTTTCACTCGAGAAAGTTTGGGAATGTCATGGGTATTACAAGTTCCTCCAGTTGGCTTTCATAAAGAAAGAATTCTAGTTACAAAAAAATGTATACATAGAGCTATAATGGAAAGCTTTAAAGGCTATATGACTTCCCAGACTTCCTTGACCCTTCTGGATTTGTCAGCGAAAATGTCATTGAACTGATAGAGGAGCATTTCAATTGTCATTAAAAAGTGTCAAACAAAAATCACCACTCTTGGGTAAAATGGCAGTGAACAATGAAATGAATTATTTGTTTGTTTGCTTATTGCCATTATTATTAGTTTTTTCTCTTAAAAAATTGAAGTCATGATGATTTACACGTTGAATAATTTGTTTGGTTATGGTTTAATGCATTTCTACTTTTCTTAAACGTTGTTCTGTTCTTTAAGATGTTTCCAACCATTGGTCTTCTTTATTTTCATGATGGCTACTATTCTGTGGACTTAGTTCTCTAACTTTTTAAGTATGACCTCTGAAGTTTTATGGTATTTAAAGTTTGACCAAGTCCTTAAATTTTTTACAGACAGATTGGGAGGGTGGTTTCTTCCCCCTTACACTCAACTTCAGTGAAGACTACCCAAGTAAGCCACCCAAGTGTAGATTCCCTCAGGGTTTCTTCCACCCTAATGTGTACCCATCAGGAACGGTCTGCCTGTCAATTCTCAACGAAGATAGCGTGAGTAGTAAATGGAAACTTATGGCTGTATCTCTATTGAGACATCATCTGAACTGTCCCTAAGCTTTTATCTATTCATGTGTAGGGGTGGAGACCAGCCATAACGGTTAAACAAATTCTTGTTGGAATCCAGGATTTGCTGGATCAACCAAATCCTGCTGATCCTGCCCAGACAGAAGGGTATCATCTCTTCATCCAGGTACATCAATCACTAAATGCACTTTTTATTTTTGAATGTAGATTGTATCATGTTATGTGCTCTATAATTTTTCTCTATAGGGCTGTGAAAAGCTCAATCTTTGCCCATGATGGTAGGCTAATTGTAATCTGTAGTGTTGGTGTATACTATGCTCGGCTACATGAAACTGAGAATTTCAAAGATCTCAAGAGTAGTGGTAGTGGCAATTTTGGGTTCACAATTTTGTGTGAAGGGACGGGAATCATAAATCTACACTATGAATATATTGATGGTACTTAGGCATCTGCCTCGTTCTCTTATCTGTGAGTTAAGGTTTTGAATGGCATATCTGTCGTCATGGTGTATAATAAGTAAAACGTGTAGAAGAAATCAATTTCGATCAATTCTATGATTATCTGTTGTCTTCTTCACTTTGATTATTTTAGTTATCACTCTTATCAGTGTTTTCGAGGCGCAAGGTGCACCTCAAGGCGACAAGCCCTTTGATCGCCTTGAGGCGAGGGGCGATACAAAGGAGTGAAGTGAGACACACCTTAATAAATAAATAAAAATTATATATATATAGTGTATAAATTTATATAGGAAACATAGTTTAAAAAATCAATACCAAAATAGTGTCATAGTAAATAGTAAATGTCAACCAGATGCATAAAACAACCAAATTCAATAAGTTTAGTCGCAGACGGGAGCGGGCGATGGCTGGAGATTGAGGGTGGTGAAGGTGAATGTCGAGAGGCAAAGAGAATAGTTAGTATTTGTGGGCTGAGGTAGTTCGCAAGGGAGAAAGGTTCTTTTTAAAAAACACATTAAAAATTAAAAAAATAAATAAAATAAAGCAGACTGCCTCATTGTTGCCTAGCCTCAGGCGAGAGGCTCACTGAGGCACACTAAGGCAAGGCGCTCGCCTGGGCACCTTGCAAGGCGCGCTCGCCTGGGCACCTTGCAAGGCACACCTAGGCGAAATCGCCTCGCCTGAGGCGAGTGCTCGGGTTCGCCTCAATAACACTGACTCTTATTTTGACTCCACAAAATTTGCTGCTTCTCGTCCACTATAATCACTGTTGTTTTTTACTATTGCAATACGATAATCTTTATTTTGTAGAATTATTTCTAAAATCATTTTCAGGATGGGAACCCCGATCTGCATGGTCGTGTGGGTTTTTGAACTGTGAAAACTCTTTTAAAGAGAAAAATATTTCATATTCTTTGTATTAATTGTTTTTAGATTAGATATAACAAACAAGGCATAAAATAGTCATGTTTCTAGACTTGCATGTGAATCTTTAGAATTCAAGGACCAAGTAATATAACCTAAAGAACAGATCCTGTTCAAGTAAGGCCGTGAAGGTTTGTTACTTGTATGTGAATCTTGGAAGAGAACTACTGAAGGTGCTTTTCAAAATGGAAGAACAGAGTGGGGTATGGATTGATGGCTTTCCAACTTTCTTACGCCCTCATATGGATTTCAGTGTCATGTCCCTAACAAAAGCGGGCATGCTACTGGTTTCCTACAGCCAATGATTTGGAAGGAAGCCTTGAAACTAAACTGCTAGACCCTGCGGTAGTGTCTTTAACTCTGTGGAGGCACCAAGGCATACGATAATGCGAAGTTTTGATCGGATAATCATCCGACTTTCTGATTTTCTATTGTTTAAATGGGAGAATTTATCGTTGTGCAGGATGCCGTTGAGTACAAGAAGAGGGTGTGCCAACAAGCGAAGCAGTATCCACCTCTGGTGTAAGCTGAATTCTGGGTTTTCCTTGGACTACTACTTCTTGATACTATGATATTAGCTGCCAGTTGCCACTGATTGAATCAACATTTAAAAACTGACTCGTTTTATAGATGGTTGGTATGTGGTGCACATTTCAATTGTCATTATAATCTCTAAAACTTTAGTGTTTCCCAGATACGGCCAACATAATGTCGATATTTATATCGGTAAACATGTCAAGGGCCTGATGTCGCATTGTGTTCATATTATGTACTTGAATTGTGGTTTCCTGCTCTAAAATGTGTATGAAAGAAGGGGTTCTTAACTTGTTCACTTCTTCTACATGCTTTTACATGGAATGTTATTTTCATGCAGGCACTCCTCTCCAAATGATCCATTTTTATGTTATGTTTGAAGTTCAAATCTTGGAAAAATTATGAATATATGATTAAGATAACAACAGAAATTTCATTAATTTTCTAAAGTGTTATTAAGTTGTCTTTTCTTTTTCTTTTTTTTTATCCTTTTACAGATATAACGTAAATATTTGACTTCTATGCTTTATTTTTGTTGTAAGATTTTTTAAAATTATCTTTTTGGATTCTTAAGGGGTTTGATAATCCATTAGTTTTATGTTTTCTGTGTTTTTGGCTTTTAAAAAATAAGTTAGTTTGTAATTAGGCAATTCATTTTGTTGTTTTTAAAATTTGAATTTGTTTTTAAAATTTACCTCTCGAATTTTATAACCATTTTGTTTTTGTTTCTCATCTAAATACTATTTTTATTCATGTATATTTTGTTTTATTTTATTATCTATTTTTGAAAAATGTTTTAAAAATCTAAGTCAAAATCTGAAAAGTTCAAAAAATAGTTTTGAAAAAAATAATTTTTTTTTTTGAATTTTACTAGGAATGCAAATGAAAATAAAATTATTATGAACAAATAAAAATAATTTTAGAAAATAGAAAATAGAAAATTAACCAGCTGCTGGTTTTCTCAAAACCACGTCAGGGCCGTTACCAACTACCTTCTCACGTCTTCCAAATTGAAACTCACGCCACAATAAAGAACAAACCGCTCAAATTTATATAAAATTTTATAAAAAAAAAATCAATCTTTCAACGGTATTAGAAACTATATTTTACAAATGGTCCGTGTCTTTTAATTTTACAAATTCTTGAAATCTTTTATTAATCTCAAGATTCCTTGTTTTATTTAATTGAATTTGTATTTTATTTAAATGATCAGATTTCATTTTTTTATTATAAATTTCCAATTTTGAATTTTCCGTATTAAATATGTTATATTCAAAATTTCAAAAATTATTCTCTTCTCATCCAATTTATTCCGTTATTTTTATTTGTTCAATAATAATTTTTAAATCCTTTCATTTATGACAAAAAAAGTATTCAATATACTTTGTTTATATTGAATATATTATTGTTTAATTTTCACATGCTAATACATTTTTTTTTTCATTTTTCATAATCATATAATTTTTACATTTTCAAATTTATTATTGTTTAATTTTATGACGATTATCGTTTGAAGTTTTTAGTATATATTATTTTTCTTGGGGCTTCTTTTTTCTGACGTCTTCTTTTTAAATAATTAATATGGTAAATACTTTTTATGAGTTTATGCTAAACTATTATATTATGTAATATATTCCAACCATCTTTATATAATAGATTTTTCCTTTTAATTTTCTAATATAGTAGGATAAATATATACTTTTAATTATATATTAAACAAGAACGTTATGATAATATATATTTTTTATTTAACATATGACATGATAATAATATATCTCGATAGATTATTTACTATACATTAGTATATACAATTTGATCTCCTTTGTGATATCTCTATTTTCTCATTTGGTAAAAAAAAAAAAAAAAAATCCTAGACATCTTATCATTCTCTTCCTTTAACCAAGTCCTTGCCATCTTGTTCCAATTGCCACAGCCTCCCTCGCTGGCGACTACATCATCCCAGCGTCGACAGCAACGACATTCTCTTCGGTGACGTGATGAGAAGACCCCATGCATGTCCTTCGATGACCCTCATGAGTAGCAATAGCGGCCTTCTACAACCCATGGTTAGGCCTGCGAGAGCAGCGACCCTCTGACGACAATGTCCCTTTGTGACCAGATGCCAGATTTAGTTCGTGCTCGTTTGTAGTGGATTGTAGCTCGTTCGTGGGTGTTGTGCCGCAGATCTTGCCATAGGGTATTGCAACCCAAATCTAGCCGTGGTGGTTGCTGCAGGTCTGGTCGGGTTCTTATTTGTTTCGGCTATTTGAGTTTGTGGGTGTTGCACCGTTGTGGAGGTAGTCACAGATTTAGTGGATTCATGACTATTCAAGTTCGTGGGTTTTGTGTCGTGGTTTAGGCTTTTAGAAGGAATGAAAGAGATAGGGATATGTGATTTTTAGAGAGGAATAGATTTGAAATGGAAAATTCCAAAATTAAGGATTTTCCTATTTTTTTATTTTTATTAAATATATATTTAAGAAGATAAATTTGTAAAATTCTGGACGGCTCTAACATTCCATGCATTTCTCAAAATCCTTTACTACATCTAGGATCACAAGTGGAATGCTGAGCAGGGGTTGGAAGACTGCAAACTCCGCAATAAAAGCGAAATGAGCCCTTGAACTCACCTCTATTTAGAAAGCCCTATTAATCAAGTTTGAAAGCCGTTGTACGCTAGTAGCATACATTCGTCTTTCAACTGGCTTCAAAGTACTAGTTGTAGTGTTCCCGCACCCGTCTTTTGTATATAAAGGTAAGATTCTTCTGTAGAGTCGCACCTCACGAATCTTATCTTCTATGCGGGCAAATTTTAAAATGAAAATATAAAATTTTAAACATAAATAATTTAAATTTTCCTATACACAATAGGGTACCTCTCGTGTAGATTGAATAGATTAGATTGGATCAAATGTTGATTTCTCACTAACTTAGTGAGCACGTTTTTGTATAAATTTGTTCACGTGTTCCCAATTATAACTCTTTTATTTATTTATTGAGAAAGCTCCAAATTGGAAGTGAAACTCATAATTTAACACCATCATAATAATTAATAAAAAAAATTAACCACTCAACAATTTTATATCTAAAAAATAATAATGCAAAGGACGACGGAGAGTACTAGGACTAGATGCCCGATTACCATGGACTCCACCGCCGCCGGCGATCCTCCGACAGTGGCGTTCCTCCCCTTCGCCGCCGCCGGCCACCTCATCCCCTTAATGAACACCGCCAGGCTCTTCACCCGGCACGGGGCTGACGTGGCCTTCATCACCACGCCGGCCACTGCCCGCCGCCTCCAAAACGACGTCGCTCTCGACTCCCGACTCGGCCACCCCATCAAAATCCACACTCTC